AATGCCAATTGTTTATCAATAGAGTAACCGTCTAATAATTGTTTCCAATAATGTTTAGCGTCTTGCATATCCATTTGTCGTTCATGTATACTATAATCAATATATTGTAATGAATTATCGATGCTACTAACATCTGCCAATTTGTTACAATAGGCTAAATGTAAATCATTGAAAAATATTTCAGTTGAACTACCATCACATGCAATATGATGAAAATTAAAAATAATCAAATCATTTTCATGTAATAAATCATTATCATCATGATATCGAACGAGATGACAACGAAATACAATGCCCAGCTCTAATTTAAAATAATTTGGATTTGTTTCTTCATCGTACAGGATTTGTTCTAACTCATGTTTCGATGATATTTTAGTTAACTGAAACGAATAATACTGATCGTTATCGTCGCCGTTCAGCATCGGTTTTATCGTTTGCGTTAAACAATCTTTTGCTGCATCATAATTCAGTGATGTACGCAATATTATATGTTTTCGAATAAGACATAATAATGCTAGTTTTAATTGTCGAAGTGATATCGTTTGTTGATTCGCGATTAATTTGAAACATATTGGTACATTATAAATGGCCAAAATATTGTGCTTTTCACCTGATTTGGTAGAATCATGACTTATAAATCGAATATGTTCATCTAAATATATTCGCTCTTGTGCCATTGATGCTTGCGCTAAAATGTAGGGAGAAAGCATACACAAATAAAACATGAAGTAAAAATGAGAGAATGGTTGGGTATTGGATAGCTTCCAAGAGCCACTGGAAAGTGAAATTGAATATTCACAGCTAATAATCGTCTATCAAATAACCTTTGAATGTGCTAAAATGGAATTTCTTCTCTATGCATGGAGAATATGATATTCAAACATGCTTTACGTCGATGGTGTTCAATGAAGTGAGTTGCTTTTCTATTGAAAGACTAATCTTTACCGTTGCGAACAGTGAAGCAGTGATGAACAATAATTATGGAGATAAGAAACAAGACTGTACATGTATGATGTTTAGCGACGATCCGCTCAACATTTTCCACTGTTAACGAGCACTTCTCATTGGCCTCTGAATACTATCGTTTACTAAGTGCTGGTAATTCTATAAGATTTTAAAATAGGACCATGCAGGTTGCAGATTAATATACGTTAAATATCTGTGTGGTTTATTT